TTGAATGAATTAGTCCATGCCAAAAAATCACAATACACGCCGCAAGGCCAAGTGCCGCAAGCTTGCTCTAAACTGACACCTTCATGAGCAACGAACAACGTTAGATCAGATGGAAACGTACCAACATGGTTTCAAGTCCGGACGATTACTCGCCGGGTGTGTTTCCCTGCCCTTCTTCGTTCTGCATATGGCATGGGGCGTCGCCATGCTTCATCGGGGTCATACTCGTCCGTCTGGAATTCGCTTTTTAGGACAGTAGATTGCGTGTTGTCGTGAGGCGGAGTACGTAACGCAGGAGGGTGGAGATTGGGTGGATGCTGAGAGGAAGGTGAATGGGAAGGGATCGGATAAAGCGGCGCCGTTGTAACAGGAACAGTCCCCCTCGGAGGTGGTCTAGAGGTGCTGGGGTGCGGATAAAGAACTGGTGCGGCGGAGGCCTGGACGGGAGAATGATGCGGTCCGTGGGCGACAGGTGGCCATGGTCGCGAGTGATCTCGGCCGCGTGCTTTCGAGGGGATGTTATCTGCGTCTTTGCTATTCTGGATATCGACCTCGACCCTAACGCGTACAATTTCCCGCCCAGCTTGTGCAAAGAACGCGCGTTCCTGTCGTTGGAAATATCCGCTGGTGGGCCCGGCGCGCATCTCTGGTGAAATTTCTGGAGGAGGTGCAGGAAACATGGCCATAAGGTCGTGTCCTGTCAAAGGGGCAGCATATTTTCGTAGTGGCATATCGGGCGAGTGGTTGAGGTCAACATCTAGGAGGTTATTATATCAGCTTGGAAAAATAGATCAGCAATTATTATCAGACAAAACCCACCTCGTAGCGAGCTAGGTGAAAGAGGTCGTCGTGGGCGTCCATTAGTTTGGTTGGATGTCATTTGTGAAGGGAGAGCGCTGCTTGCGACACCCTTGGAGGCTGGACTGCGACCGGGAGGAGTGGTAGACGTCGAGGGAGTTGGAGAAGGCGAATTATCAGAGACGGGACGTAGATGAAAAGACATGATGGTATGAGGAACTGGGGGGTATAGGTAATTCGCAGGGCAACAAAGCCAGGGTAATTTATACCAACAGGCGGAGCGGGGAAGACAGATTGATCGCATAAATTGGAAGCTCAGAAGTAGTTATAAGTAGATCGAAACCAGTTCAACTCAAAAGTGAGCGAGCTAGGCTGTCCGTTTCAGCCGAATTCAGTCTTGCGCGTTTGGCGATGGACCCTTCCTTGGTAAATAAGCGAGTCAGGGTGCTGCCACGTTCCCAAATACTTTTCATCTGATCCCGAAGGGTCAAGAACCTTGCGGTCATTCTCAAGTTGACAGAACCGCTCAGATGGAAGCAGATGATGATTATCTGATAATGCAACCTCCTCGTCTTCATCGCCGCTCTTGATGGTTATGAATCCAGTTAAAATGCCTCGATAGGCATCGATGTGTTAGGAAAACACGAGGATTGGATGGAGCCTATCACAGAACAAGGAGGTGGAGGAAGGTCAAGGTACAGCAGCCCTTTCATCCAAGCAGGTGACCACGGATCCTTGGTAACGCTGTGAATAGACACGAAGTACTGGTCCCTTTCATGGAAAAAACGCCTGTGGTACATATATATTATCAGATCTGAGATGCCCTCTTCACTGCACCGGCGAGGTCGATCATGGTCGATCGCGATTGAGCAGGAAAAAATACCGGCCCGCACTAGGTGTCAGGAGTTATGCCGGGTCTCAATGCCGATGATTTCTGTCGTTCAAAACCTTGTCCAGCAGGTTCTATGAACAGTTGGCAGGCATCGCAAGCTGTAAATACCAATCGAAGATACTACTCAGGACGTGGATGCCGTCTCCGACAGCATATCCTTCCAAGACCATGACCGTGACCACAGGCCATTTTAAATACCGGTTATCTATAGATAGACCAATAGGCCCGCTGAGGAGTCATCCTCATATGGGGTCCTTCGGAACGAAAGTGTAAGTGATTTTCAAAGAGTAATCAACGCAAGGGAGGAGCTGTAATCCATTTCAAGGGCCGAGCCTAGACCTTTGGTCAATCGAAAATACCTGTGCCCGTGCCCGTAGTACCTCGTAACCGGAAATTGACACATCAACTCCAGTGAAAATGAGTAGTGTCAATGAGTGTTCGTCGTCGTGGAGCAATGGCATACACAGTATTCCAATAGTGTATATGTATCGGATCGGAGACTATCCGGAGTTTCAACCCCCAAGCGACCCCCAAGTGCACAGTCATCACTACAGCGTCGCAACCGAACCATCTAGATTTCTTTCCAACTAGAATGAATTTCCCGACGGCGCATCCTTTTGCTTCCGCGAAATATGTTCCTCCAGGTCCCTGCTCTCTCTCAGCCTCTGCCAAACGCAGCTATATTTTAATTTAAGGTGACGCGAGACTGCGCGACGTCGGGGCTTCCTCTGTCTATGCAAAAGCCTCTATATAATTTTATAAATGGGGATTATAAGAAGCTCCTCTGCTTAGTGAACCTGCAGGTCTTCAGCAGGCATTCTGCAACTTCACTCAGGGCTCTGATCATTTTTCATCAGATATGATCAGCACGGGTTGCTCCGTATGCTCCATACCTCCCTTCCTCGATGGTCTGCGAGGAATGTCAGCTTTCAGTCTGTTCCTGAGAGATAACAAATGCCTTGGCCACACGGTATGTGAACTACTTATTTCAGTCGGTCGTTCACATCGTGCAGGTTCGTCACCTTTCTTTTGGGGTGGCCAGGTCGCGGTGCTATGACCTGTGGAACTAGAAATCAGACCTCTGACCTCTTATGACAGTGCGGCCTTTGGTCCAAAATAAGTAGTCCTTTTGAATGTTTCGAAGTCGAGCTAAGCAAGAGCTAAGTAAGTTCTCCAGACCTCTTAAAGCCCGTCACCCTCTTACTCCGTATTTCCCAGATATAAAAATCTGACAGTGGCTGAAAGGTACTTACTTCCCACTGCACGACGGACTTTTTATAGCAATTTTTCTAATAGTAGCGCCCGACAGAATAAACTCAACTCCATTCGCTTCTGCGAGGTCGTGCGGCGCCTCGGCAAGGCTTGGTTTTCTCTCACAACCCTTTATTAGTGATTATTTTTCGTTTCACCCCCGCCTGTGATGTCTTCCTCAGCGATTTGCAGCGTAACTCTAGAAATAGTCTTATTCTCATACCGCTTGTCGGAATATGAACACCCACAGTCCAGCGGCTACTATTTACGCAAATTTTCCTTCTACGGTCGAATCCTTCTAAACCGGAAAAGCCGCTGGATGATAGGAGAAGCGCATTTTGAACGGCTACAAATCTGAACTCAGCCTTTTCCCCGAGACTGGGTACTGAACTGTCGGCCGCATGACCAACTCAACAATAGAAGCTCAGTAATGACTCTCGGCTATGTTCAGCGACCCGTCTGAGGAGTCAGTTCGGCGTCAAGATCCGGATGGCAGACTTCCATACCTGCGTATGAGTCGCCTCGAGTCAATGTCCCGACAGTCAGGAGCATTCAGCAGTCAACTTCGTATGCTGAACGCCGTCTTTCAAGATCATGCGACCCTGCTGCCACGCACGGGAGCACATCTAGCTGATCTTAGGCCCTAACTTCTCCTTCGTATATGACACTCAGCCCATTCATTATTTCTAGCGACTACGATTGATAACGCGGGCCATCTCCCACAAATAAATTGGGGCTATGGAATTCCCTTGACTATAGGGATATCGATAGCCATTCAGGGAAATTGTAATAAAGCTGAGGCGGGGTACTGCACTATCTAGTAATTTGGGATGCAGATCCAACCTTATACGCGCCTGCCGTGCCTTTGTGTCATACGCAGCTTTCAGAAGCCCGTCGTTTTTGACGCACCTGAAGACTTCGACCCGGCAGGTTATCCTCAGATTCAGAATTCGCCGTGCGGTCCGGACTATTGAATACATATCCGCGTCATAATAACGGGCATTCGTTCATGTTACCCATTGTGTGTCCAAGGGTGCTTCCTTTAGTCAACCATGCTTATGTTCGGCTCAGTTTAGCACGGGCTTTCGTATTCCCCTGCTTCTAGACCGATACAGACGGTAGATCAGCGTTAATAGAGCCTCACTCACTCCATTTTATATCCTTTGTATACTGCGTACAGTGGTCGGCTCGTTATTGGCGGTCTTTAATCCTGACCCTTGGAGAGTTTACGATCACCAGCCCACCTAGATAAATACTACGGTTCCGACAGTGCAATCAGGTGCCAGTTCAATCGTCACTTGATCTATCTCAAAGATCAGACTGGCATATATCAACTTCACGAATGTTGTTCATCCAATGACAAGGATAGGCTGATGTTCGCAGAATATCCCGATATCACTGCGAGCATTAGCTGCCATTTTTGGTGATCATAATCTGAATATATGGCAGATATATTGTGATGAACTAGTAGTCACCATGATTATATTCGTCAATTTCCATTCATATATATTTAGATGATAGCAGCCAATGTCCGCAGTGTATGCGACCGATACTTCGCAGCACAGGATTAGCCAATGAATTATAATATAGCTTCTCAATCCTAATTAATTCGAATTCATCTCCCACTGGCATTGACCTCTCGGTAGAATTCTACACAGTGGGATTGTCGCCACACATATAAAAATATTTTCTATTTTAATGAACTTCATTCGGGGTAATTAGAGGACTCTCTATAGAGTCCGGCAGGTGCCATACAGTGGAGAGCAGTGTAACAGTGGCATAATGAAGTGGTCCGGACACGGAGATGTCGGAGTGTTTGGTACTATGAGCGCGGGTACTATGATGGGAAAATCTCAGGGCGTGTCACGTTAAGCCCTGTTCGGGTTCAAAAAACAAGCAAGGAGCAATGGTCTCGGAAATAGAGCGCAACGTCCGCATCGGGAAGATTGATAAAGCTCCTGGCCGGTATAAGACAAAATATGACAGCGCCACAAAAGTCTCCTGCTTGGAGCTTTGATATTCCGACTCCAAAGTATTTGCGACAATATCCGCGGTCATTAACCGACGATGGGAATCGAACCCATAACCTTTACCTTTCTATGGATTAGGAAAGTAATGTACTACCGATTGTACTACGCCGGCTTGTCAGCTGTGTCACGGAGGGATCAAAATACAGTCCACAACTAGGAAATAGGGACGACCGACTGTTTTCTTGGCATCTCTGTATACACCGCTGATACAACTGGTTGGATATTGTCAAGATACCAGGACTGCGCCACAACCTACACACCTGCAAGGTTGTCACCTCTGGGGATTGCGCTGTCATTTAAACACTGTCTAGTATCTGATCGGGTTCAAGTGATGCCACTGGTCCCGAGTGGTACGTAAAGCCTGAGTGGCCGCAACATCCAAGCAACAGTCCAGCAGGTATATCATTACTACACTAGAGTAATAAAACTGGGTGATCCTCAATAGTTACATATTTAGGTAGATATAAGATACATTGTATATTCCAAAGAGTCCGCCTATCCATGAATAGTTCAATTTTTTGATCCGGGTGAAGGAGAAGGAGAAAGAGCCGCGCCAGTGCCAGGACCCATGGAGCCATAACTTGCGGTGTAATACGACATCGAAGAAGGGTAGCTGGAGCCTGAACTAGCAAAGCTATCTGCCCTGCTCTCGGCAAGGGCCCTATCCACCAGTTCCCCGACTTCGGTCGTCCGTCCCGTAGCACCAGCGGCCAATAGCATCTCCGCGCCAACCGCAATGCTGTTCGTCCGACTCGAGGCACGGCTACCGAAACTATGTTCTGATGGGAGCGTATTCGCTCGGGTGGGGGGCCGGCTAACGGGCGTGCTCCGCAGGCTGGCCATCGTGCTAGAGAGGGTTCCGTGGTCACGGTCCGTGTAGAGGCTCGATGCTGCGGACATACTCCCAAGCTCCCGCGAGCCCATGGACTCGATCGTGGGCATGCGCCGTATGTAACCGTTTAGCATGCCAATGCGCTCTTCTGGCCGGTAGGGGCGTCCAAACTCGTCGTAGCCGACGGCAGGGGGTATTGGGGGAAGGGAAAACTCATCAGAAATATTATTCGCATCCCCTATCGGAGGAGGCGTGGCGGCATGTGCCCTAATCAGTTCGAGACCTTCCTCTGTCTCTCGGTTAATTTGGGACACGAGCGCCTGGAAGCGCTCACGGAAGCTGTCCAAGTCCGGGTTGTCGAAGGGGGAGATAGGTTCATGCGTTTCAAGAGTGGGAAAACCTTCAGGGTCCTCGTCAGAGTAGATTCCGCTGTGTGTGCGGTCATGAATAGACGAAAGCTTGGAATGAGTGTTGGAACGTAAAGTTGACTCAGAGGACTGGTGTTGTGATTGCAGTCGAGGTGGCTGTGGAAGTGTAACTGACGCCGTTGAAAGTTCTGCCATGGTTGGTGAGATTGCAGAGTGGAGGGCCTCGGAGAGTACAGCTCGAGAGCGACGGGATCGCGATAATGATGATCGCTGTACATGGTGGTATCTTGTGGCGACCCAGTGATAAATAATCTACAGGGCAATGTCATTTGGCATGGAAATATATTGTAACAAGAGACTTACAATGACGAAAAATGTTACTATAACACGAAGAATTGCAACTACTAACCATGGACCCCAACCGGGAGGGTGACACTGTGCCTGGGAAACTGACCATACAACATCGATATCTAGATGACACCGTCGTCGAATGTTCAACTCCAGAATGGGAGAAGCTTTCCAGATGAAAAGCAGTGCCAGATTGGCAACGGCCGGGCCGAAAAGAGTGAATGACGCAAGGACATGAAATGCCGCGCGAGTCCGCAATAGGGGTAGCAAGGGAACGTGGTCTAAGAGACAAGGTTGGAAAAGCGAGAGGACAAGGGCGCATATTGAAAAGGCAAATGAGATGGTTGCACTGATCCCAAGGGCTATAGAGGCAGCCCCCCCAGAGGGGGATTCGTATTCCGTATACGCGATGAAGTATCGAACTGCATTATAAACAGCAAATGCACCTGCAGATAATCGTGTAAACTATCGGCTCTTGGGAGAATCGAGAGCAGTTTTAACGCACCCATTGTGATCTCCAAAGCGCTTTTGTAATATCGCAAACGTCGTAGGCGTCTCTCAACGACGTGTTCCCGAAATCCTTTGCGCTCGCCTGGAGTGATGGGATCGCCAGCGAGCGACCAGTTATTCACCCATTCAGAGCGTCCTACACTTGTACGGGTTGGCTGCTGGGGCAACAGGTCGATATATGCTACGGATTCTGAAGTGTTGGGATGTAGTAGAGGCTCTGTTGGATGCGAGAGTTCCGAAGTGCCCTGTAGCGTCGCGTTCGATGTGTTTCGTTGGTGGGGAGATAGAGAAGATCCTGGCTCGTACTCGGGGCCATAAGTCACGTTATGAGGGTATGCAGCTGTCATTAGACAATCTGGTTATTCAGACGTCACTTTGTCGTAGTATCAACGCGTGATAAGGCTCACTGGGAGCAGGCCAGTACAAGGACAGAGGAATGGCACACCTGCGTATCGCCGATATTGGTCCTTAGATTGGCACCTGCCCGATGTCGGCCACAGGAACCGTTCAGAACTGTACAGCGCGTGGTCGTCAAACTCGAACATTGACAGATTTGGCAGTTTATGATGTGGCCGTATTTGCCTTGGGCCTGTATGGGAACGCGTACACAGCGGTAAACACATCTCTTCCACGTCTCACCACGCTCAACAGCCAGAAATCCCTCACCGTCCCTATCTGCACGTTCAAAACGCGCAATAATCCTTTAGAAATGTGGTATTTTGGCTGAATGGGATATTTGACATGCGTTCTATTCCGATCACACGTTATGACAGCTCCTTTACAGCAGGACGGGCGCCCCGGTGTCGCAGGCTCTCCATCAGGCAGATGGCTCTCTTTTTTCAACATGAGCAGAAGAGAATGGCTGTTTTAATGCGTTGGAGGAATTATTTTCAAGTGAGTTTTAAATCATTCCAGTGATCGTGCATACAACTGGGCTGTGCTACATGTACAGTGCCTCCCAGCCTATCGCATCAATCGCAACACTACATCGGTGCTCATAGACCAGGAGAAAAGGCCCCCGTAAAATGATCGGCAACATATCCTATGCTTCGACTTGTGTTCAACTTTGGAACCTTCAGTTTGCAATTGGGTCTACCGTCTCTGCCGACCACTGCCTACTAGGACTTTGATTCAGCGCCCCTATCAGCTGCTGCAAATCCCGGCATCTGGAAAGCATTCTTTCTCACAAGAATCTACCTTTGTCAGAACTTTCTGCAGAAGCCTGATAACTAAAAGGCTTCTCTCTATTCAGGCTGCCGTCGCTAGAGAAATAGGTTTTCTATGGGGATCTACAAGCGCTTTTTATGCCGAAAATAGAGCTTGACTAATTCAGCTGTCTTGATGCTCTTGATAAAGTCGAGACTGCTTGTTCACTTCGGGGTCACTGCACCAGTATACAGGGTACTTTTGTCATTCTGTATTCAAAGGCTGTCAAAAACTTATCACATACTTGGATTACCTGGGGTTTGTTGCAAACTCATGGATTGGTTGCAGGGGGCTTGAATAACCGCTCGGGAAGGCCCGCGGCTCTGACTTCTCTTCGCTCATTCCATCTTAGATGCTCCTTTTGTTTATCTACCCTTCTCTTCTGAACATATGTCTTCTGAACATATGCTTGGAGACCTGTCAATAAAACACCTCTTCTATCACCACTCGAGAACGCCAGATCTAAGGATATATATACATCAGCCGTCAACCTAGTGACGAAACTTACATGCTATCTTCTATAACTGAGCTGCTACCGTGATTCATCTACTTACCGCAGACACCGACAACGTATCTTTCTATTCTCTAAACATTCTCTTGGAGGTTAACGCTCAGTTCTTATAGCTATCCCGTCATGCCTCCTGCATAGGTTACGTTCTACGTGGATCTTCGAAGAAATACCACCTCTTCCAACATGTGGATCGACGCAACTCTCTGATATATCTGATATTCTCCACCTTATGGCATCTGAGACGTCCGTACGACTGTGTAAGCAGCATCATGGGAGCAGAGCGGGGCCAATGGGGCCTATCTCCAGCCTTGAATCTCTCCACCATTCATATGTTTCGATACCAACAAATGAATGACACAAGATGAGCAGCCCTGCACATGTCATCGTCGTCATCTGCTCTGGTGAAGAAGATCTCGTTTATATCATTCACACTTCGATATCCTGGTAACATCTTGAATTTATTTATCCGCCTAGGGATGGATCATCCCCGCGGTGCACCTGACGCACTCCTGATTTCCATGCGAGGGAGTTTGTACGGCGTAATGGAACGTCACTGCAATCGAATTGTATGGGGTTTGCGCCGCTCAAGTAGTACCTGTTTCCCGAGCCCTTGTTGAGCTGGTTCAGCCGGTTGACCTCTGACAGCTGCAGGGCTGCACCCCACGTATTTAGTGCGACTTGCGAACGAGGGTGGTTCCATACTTGGACCCATACAGTTGTCTGCAATGACAATCTCATGACCTAGTTTTTTATATTTTTGGTGAGAGGAAAAACACCACCAAGGCACGAAAACCACAACTCCTCTTGACTGATCCCGAGATATTAGAACTAGGACTGAAAGAGCACAGTGATGTGCTGCGGTCACATTGCCATTCAGTGCAGGTGTTCTTATTTCAGATACGAACTACGAGTTACATAGATTCCGCGTCTCGTCGACCAATGCAGTCGTCTATATACATATTTGCATACATGGAGATAGCAGGCACCGATGTCGACGGAGTGAAAGCGGCTCCCGTTCCGCAGCTGTAGCAGCGAGAGCTCCGAGATCGAGGAAATAAAAGAAAGGCCGTTGGATGTGCGGGACACGGGTATCGAGGAAGTCACTCCTGAGTCATCTCTAGATTCAAAAGGATCTGAAACTCTTGTGCTGAGGTATCCGCGTGATGGCTAACAGAGGCTGTAAGATTGTTTTGTAAGCCTTAAGATTACGGGTTACCTGGAGTAACCCAACTCACCAAGCCGATGGGTCAGCAGTTTTCCGTTAAGAGCTTTTCTTCTTTTTCTTCTTGGGCTTCGCGTCTTCGCCGTCAGGTTGGTCGGCGTTCGTGCGATCCCGT